GCTGTAGTACAGCCATAATGATTGATAGTGAAGAGCATCTCTCCAAACAATGCAGAGGAAATAAATGTTGCAAACAGACCAATAAAATGAATGTTTTCTCTCCCAATGACTGGTATCAGTCGCCAGTTTGTTGGATCAATACATGACTCATCTGCAGATCCTTTGGCGCTTTTCATCCCGTTCCCGAAGCCCTCATCGGTATGACGATCACATCCAAAGACAGGCGACCGTCTACGTTTACCCTTCCCCCTAAAAAATGCTCCTGTGAGCTTGATGCTAATGAACGTTGCATGACAGATCCTGTTTGGATAGTTATCAGCAAAAGGGCCAAGCAAAGATGATTCCTCGTTTCTTGTCAAGATTATTTCAAAATGAGGAGGGGGTTCCATCCTATCTGATCTGCTGTCGGGCAATTTTGATTTTCTTCATTAAAGTCAATTTTGTTTTTCATGCACTACAGAGGCTAAAAACAAGTTGATTCCATCGCCACATTCAATATTGTGTTGCTTCATAGCCTACATCACCTCAGATTCTTCATTTCGTGTTGTAACGAAAAGTATACCGGTATCACATAACAAAGAAGGTGGCTGGTAGAACTAACTGGGAATGGGAAGGGGACGTGAAACTAGGAATCAATATCGCTTGGCCTCATGAACACCGCATGACAGATACTGTTTGGATGGTTATTAGCAATCGTCGCTTGACAGATTATGACCCATCGCACATTCAAATATCAGTCTGAATGCTTCCTAACTACATCTTTATGTCTGCTAAGTACTTCATAGGATGGATGTAATTTTCTCATGTACGTACTATTTGTTAAGGTTTAGGTATGAAGAATACATAATACTTTTCAATGATGCACCGTGGTTATTTTTCTTCGAGCTTATGCCAGAGTTATTCAGAAATCATTCCCTCTCCATCTTATATCACTAAAATTTACATAGAACTTTCAGTGATGGATCAGAACATTTAACATTGGCTACATATATGGTTATACATAAAATGGTCTCGTTGTAATGGATTGTTTCCAACTGAATACGGATAAAGAATGTTTTTATAACTTGGCAAATTGATGTGATTTTGTTTTTTATATTGTAATGATCATATCAAATGTGCTCTTTTCAAACAGGAACTAGTTACTACTCTATGTGTTAAAATTATTACTTTAATATTAATCTGTCCAAAAAGTTATAATAGTCAAGTCAAATGCTCTATCTGAAATCTGTTACTTTATCTATCAAAATGTCCTGCAAGTATCGTATAGAATATCTTTAATAGATAAGCCCTCAAGGATGGAAATGAAGGATGATCATTTCAATTGAACCTCTCCTAATTGCTTCAATTTCCTTCAAGACGACTCTCAGAGACCAAGGTGTGTGTGCTAATTACAAATGTAGTCTGAGGCTTTCCTACTTGTATCATTGAAAGGAGCAGAAAATGGTTACGATGACACGTACTCCAAACATTAGTCAAAGCAAACATCTGCATTTATTGGATTCCATTCAAATATACTACTTACTAATAGTACAAAGTACATAGCTCTTGAAAACAGCAATCACTTTCATTAAAGGCAATACTAGGTGAGTTTACTTTAATATGTTAGTTATGTGTCAATTTCTTTTCTTCCATCCCAGACCCTCCCCCCCCCCCCCCTCCCCTCCTCACACGTAAGTCTGTTTATTTTTAAATAAAATATGATAATAAAGCAGCTAAAAATATTATCTCCCAAGCACCCAAGCACATCTCAGCTTGGTATTCCAAAGTATTAATAACCTTAACTCTAACCCCACATAGACCTGCCCCCTAACCATAATTCTAACCCTTGGCCTTATAAACCCCCAACCCTAAATCAAAGCACTATTTCACAAAACCCTATAATGTACTACAGACTATCTAAAAAAAATGTTTCCGTCAGTGACTGACACTACCTTTAAGATGCCTTCACGATGTACTTCAAGTGTCTCCTTGATCATTAGCAGGGGTACCAAGATAGAGACTGTTTACACTCTAAATTCTTCTGAGCAAGCATTCACATGAGGCGTGTCTGCACTATCTCGAGATTGCCAAATATCCAGCTATTTTGAACTATCCCGATCAAAACTATCCAGCTATTTGCGTCTTCATTAGACCGAAGTGGCAAATTAGCTGGATAGTTGGTCGGGATAATATCCCAAGATATCTCGGTCTAGTTTGCAAAATATCCTTCTATTTCCGAACTAGCGGGATAGTTTGCGACCGTCTTCATTAGACCGAAGTACGGAGTCAATTATCCCGATCCCATCATGCACAACGATTTCCGGTTCGCACATGCGATCTATACCGCTCAGCGCTGACCTCGCAACCACTGACCTCGAGTAAACACGGAAAACCGCAAACTAGACCGAGATATCTTGGGATATTATCCCGACCAACTATCCAGCTAATTTGCTACTTCGGTCTAATGAAGACGCAAATAAGCTGGATAGTTTGCGATCGGGATAATTCAAATAGCTGGATATTTGGCAATCTCGAGATAGTGCAGACACGCCTTATGATGAGACATACTGGAACCCAAGGATAGATGGGTGAAGATGCCCTGACAAAAAGGACTAAATCTCAAGGAAAACATATGTGATGAGGTGATCCCACATTTGCTCTGGCTGTGACAATCGCTCCCGGCTTTAAGTCTTAAAATTTTCAAAGGTATAGGGTTAGGGTTAGGAAGTAATTCAGTTTAAGGATAAGCTAAGCTTAAGGATTAGGATTAGGTATAACATTAGGTCTAGGGCCAAAGTAAGGAATTCTTTTAGTGTAGAAAGCTGCCTGCAGAGCAATTGTCCCAGGAGCATATGTCTGGCGACTAGGTGATGAAGTAGCGACGACGAGGACCTCGTCAGTTGGGAGGGGGAGATGGTGTTGGAGAGAAGGTGAGAGACTCAAAGGTATACAGGATGAAAGCAGAATAGAATTGAATGAAATAGAAGCTAGAGTTTGAAAAGCATTCTGGTGTAATATCAGGATACTGTGATGGCTATAAATGGCATCAGTGGAATATTTCCTTGTAGAGAAAGAGTTGATCAATACACTGTATTGAAAATTACAGGTACGAGCTACAAGATAGGCCTACATGTAGACCAAGATAGACTGATAGTTCTATCTAAAGATAGCGTTTTAGGCATGAATAGACAAGACTGCAAGAGTTGGTCAATGAAGGACTTTGTTTCCAAGAAATGTCATTCTCAATGAAGCCCTAACTATAGAAGACCATCAGAGTTGACTTAACCCTAAAAAGGCCGGGCTATTTGAGGTCTTAGTAGGGCCGGGGGGGGGCCATAATGGCCCCCCCTTAAGATCTCGGCCGCGAAGCGGCCGATTGCCGCGAAAATTTGCACGCATGTCAAGGGAAGTGTATAGAATAATGTGATAATTTCAATTTTTTGAAAAATTCACTCATTTGCATATTTATGGTAATTTATGCAAATAAAGTCATAAAAATCACATTTTTACCCATAAATCATATATTATTCATATTTAAGCATTCTTTTTCACTACATATATTCATTAGACCATTCTCAATAACAATACGACAAAAAAATTTGGAAGAGCCAGCTTATTCCTTATGTTATCCCTTGTTTAGATAATTTCTTATGTATTTCATTGTTTTTTTAACTAATGTATTTCATTGTTTTTGTTGTTTTATTTCATTTCTTACTACAATTCAACTATTTTGACTTCAAAAACAACCACCTCAACTTTAAACAAGACCCAATAACCCATGTTTGTTCTGTTTTTAGGAAAAATGACTTTTCCATATGTTTTGTACACAAATCACGAAAATGAGCGATTTTCAGGCTGACATGCAAAGACAAAAGGTCACGTGACCTTGTAACCGTAGGTCCGATTTTCAAAAAAATGATTTCAAAAGTTGCGCAAGACTCGAAAGAAAAAAGTCAGCGAGCGGCGGGGCGCCATCCATATGCGTTCCCGAGCAATCGGAAAAATCGTGGAGGGGGGGGGGGCCATAATGGCCCCCCCCCCGGCCTTATTAGGGTTAACCAACTGGAATATTCCTATTCCATCTAACTTGCAAAGACATAAATAATTTGCCATTCTTATGATTATGTTTCTATAAGTAATCTTTTTCCTGGATATCATTTAAAGAAGGGTTGAGTGACCTGTAAGAATCTACTTGTGGTGTTTTCAAAAGCTACTATTGAAAGCTGACATGAAAGTTTCAATTGCTGATACTAATGACTCTTAACTTATTTTCTTAAAATAAAGACGAAGTATGACTTCACTTACTTTCATTTACTTTGACGAAGTGATTATAAACTAGTAATTAGCCACGTTCGGCTTCACAAATGTATGTTACATAATCAGTCCTTAGCTCTGTAATGTAACAGTACGCTGGTGAGATATTATGAAAGCTCAACGACACAGCAACCCTTGCTGGGTTACTAACTCAAGAGCAAGCATGAATACCACTTGACTTCTGCGCTATTTGCATCTTTAAGAGAGTCCTTGTAGAGATGGTATAATTACTTTCGCTTAGGCAGGAGTGAAGTACCTGCAACTAGAGTGAGTAGCTGTGCCGCCAGCTGGATTTCGCATCTCTTCTTCATAGCAGACAATAATTATGTTCACATCATCTATGTGTCGTACCTTATTTTTAGAACTTTTCATTTCCGTTGACATGAAAAATAATGTAGGCACACGTTCACTCATGCTGAAATATGAATCATGTATGCTGTCATCATCAATATGTTTCAAGGGAAGCCATTAATAAATATCCTTCATTAACCTTTGATTATAACTAGGATGACATAAGCAGATCCATCTACATGTAGGTTAAGTGGACCGAGTTATGCAATTTTTTAATCGTAAGATGGAATATTGAAGAACCCGTCGCAAAACTTGTACAAATTGTAATGCGTCAATGCTGTAGGACACTTTACATCTCCATAATTTGACATTCACAGTTCATCTAGCTAGATTCAGCTCGAGACATATTGACCTACCTTGTAGAACCTTATGAAGTCAGCCGCATAATTTCATCAGATGGACTACGAGGCCTGGATGTTTGCACACTGAATTACAGCTCCAGTGACCTAATAAAAATAAGAAACAAAAACCATATTGGTGAGAGGTCTGCAACAGCTAGTTGGGTTGATACAGAGCAAAGCAATGTGCTGATTGGATAAAGCCATGTCTTTCATTGCATTTTCATTTCTTGCACGAGTCCTGCTTGATGTAATGAAGGTATTTTTCTACTCCGCAAGCCTTTTCTTAAAGGTGTAACACAGGCAGTCTACGATATACTCCGTTGATCTTCTCCTTTAGAACCACTAACGTTACTATCATCATCATCATAAACATCATTATTATTGTCATTGTCATCGTCATTATCCTCATCACCAGCACCATTGCCATTATCATCATATCATCATTATCATCATCATCATCCCCATCATCTTCTTCATCACCGCCGTCAACTCGTCATCATTATCCTTACCGCCATCCTCATCATAACTATCACAAGCATTACCGCTAATACCTCCATCATCATTACTATTTTTACTAACTTTAAATCTAATGTAAAAATAGTAAAAACTAGATAGAAAACCAAGACATGAAAAATATGCTTATAATACAGAATATACACCATTGCAAATTTTGCTATATCCTTTTGGAAACGAAATACAGCCATGAAGGATTGCATGTCAATATCTCCTTCTTTCACAACAACCTTCTTTATTACATAAATGAAGCATTCCTACATTTATCAAGCGACTTGTTTACAAGATATTCATGTTTTACTGGACTCTTGGGGACTTGAATATTATGAGAGTCAATGAAATATCAAACGATTATGATACCTGTGACCTTTATGAATAAATGTCAATGGCTCATCATAAAGAATCAAGTTACGGTCTTGGGATCGACATGAACATTCCCATTCTCTTCATTATTACTTTACTGATACCTTGAACAGCCAAATATCAAAGCCCAAATATTACATAAGTATTCTACGCCGTTACTATTATGCACAATAATTTTTTTTTTTACTCGGTATTCTAAAAAATACAAGAAGACTGTATTGAAACACTGTTTATAGGAGCAGATATGATGCACATTGAGGTGTGTAAATAGTGTGGCTTTGCTCAGCACACTTTTTTAATGAATGTCACTAGGTTTTGAACTTAGATATTTTATTCAAAACCCAACAAAATCTATATATTGGAAAATGGCCATAGCTTTTTTATTTGTTATTGGTACATGAATGAATAAGAATAAATTGTTGTATTCATGATGTTTTGTTCTGTATATTTAATTACCGGAACGTGTATGTTATTTTGACCTTGCTTTAAAAGTGGGGGAGTGTGTGTGCTGGAAACAACTGCAAGCATGAAAAGCCAGGGTATAATGTCATGAACACATGCCTGGGGACATTTTTTTGATGCATTACCTTTTCTTCAAAAATAATGAATGTCATTATTATTAATGAATCTCACTATACAAAGAAGAAGGGTGAGCAGAAAGGAAGGGAGAGAAGTACGGACGGAAGAATGAATGATGGCAGAGAAAGAAGGTACAGCAACAAGAGAAGGACATCAGGACGGAACATTCATTTTTTATCATCAGGTCTAGACCTGTCCTCGTCTTCCCGCCCATGATCAATGAGCTGGGGCCAAATTGTTGACACAAGCCCTAGAGATCAGGGATGCTACAGAAGGGTTACACCCCTGAAACTCAATCCAGACGCCCGCCCTCGCTTGTCTGCCGGATGAAAGCAGCTTAGCGAAGACTCGAAACAGATTGAGCTGTATGAGGGGGCTGCATGGTGGGGTGATGTTTGCGGACTGCATCAAAAGAGCCATCTCCTATAAATAGTCCACATCAATGTGAATGTTTAACTAAACTTCTATAACATACATGTTTTTCGAGTTTCGACAAAATGGTAAAGATGTTTACCAGTCTCTAAACAGAATGACAGATGGGAGTAGAAGAAGACACTAATAACGACCGAACAATAAGAACCAGTGTCTCAAATCATTTGGAAACAAGATGTCAAAGCCCTAACCATTCCATCAAAGAAAATGAGGGAACAAGAGCATCTTACACAGGCTGAGGACCTGAATAGTTTTCCAAGCGATGTAAAGAGAATATTAAACTGATACTTTACTTTTCTGTGAAAAGTTATACTCAATACACCCTTGAAATCCTGAGATTACACATGTAGTAGAGGATAGCCATCTCTGGCGATACTCTCTTCTTGGCAGGCACTCCCTGTCACTTTACTCAGCTTTGTTTACATGTTCAGCATGCATTGACACCAGAGGGCAGTGTTGTATATCTGTCAATGGATTCCCATTTTTTACTTGAGCAGGGAAGGAGGAGCACTTTGACACATTTGATCAGCTTTCAGAGCAGACATAATCATGAATGCTGTAAGATAAATGCTACAAATTGCCTTGAAGAATTTTTTTTTTTTGTACCTTTGGGAGAAGTCGATTTTTTCTTTTCCTCATGTTGCATTTCTTACGCAAAATACCATGGCAAGTAACATAAAATAGTATATTCATATGAATGGTAATGATTCCTTAATAAAAGTATTCCATAATGGTTTGATTACAAGTATCTATTAATTGAAAATAATATCTATTTTCCCTCTATTCCTCAGCCTAAATGGTCAAGCTTCTCACAGCTAAATTATGAATATACAAATTGAAAACAGACAACATCTTGATTGACCTACACCTTTTGCAATATAAATTCCACATAATATGTAGCTTTGTTATAGATATACTATCCACTCAGATTATCAGACAGTCAGAAAGACATACGTATGTAATAAAGCTCCACAACTGCTTACAAATATACAGAAGCCCTCAACACCAACTGATATATGCTGAAGCACACCTTTCAAGCCCAAAATAGAACTGAAAAGAGTGACTTTAGATGTCTCAATACTTTATTGTAAATAAAGGAACTGACTTGAAACCTCCACTGATTGATTCTCTAAGAAGTCGGGCGTGACAAAGCCAGGATAACACTAACAAAGGGAGAGCTTCTTCTCGCTCCTCTATGGCATGCATGATCTAACCGCCAAACTGTTAGGAAAGGAAGTTCAGAAGACCGTTACAAATTTCAAATACTACCTGTCAGAATGATGCAATTTTAAGCAGAAATGTAAAAAGGTATCCCCAATTCAAACTTTTCATAATGTACACTTAACTGAAACAATAAATATATACATGTATATGCAATGCTAAGTTCCAACCTATTGTTGGTCTACATTTTAGAAATTGGATATGCCACATTATTGTTTGATTGATTTTATTTCTGCGTTCAAAAATATACAAATTCAAAGTCAAAGTACAAAATTTCAAACAATAACAAATACAATGAATACAATGTTTACAAAAGTAATTAAATGAAAAGTCATGTACAATTATATCATTTGATAAACATGTACGAAGCATACAATTATGATAATTAATCTTTAAAAAGTGTGTGAGTGAGATCAACCAAATGAATTCTGTAAAACAAGATGTCAGCGGCAGAGGTATCTTAAATCTGTAACGGTATTGTCGTAAAAACAACTTTCATGTGCATGAAACGTTCGCAAATTTTGCCAGTAGTTATGTTTCAAGAAAGTTTATTAAATCACATCAACAAGACACTGAATAGTTGAGATTCCTGAAAGTTTTATGTCACAAAAGTTATCTCTTTTTCCCAACTGCTTTGAGATGGGCAGCACAGAATAGCTAAGAGGTTCGGGGGTTGGGGTACATGAATAGATGATCCTTCCTTTATAAAGTAAAGGATATGTGATGTCAAGCTTGAAAGCTAGGAAACTTCAAATAAGTAAAAATGGGAAAGGATAACATCACAGATCTGCACAATTAGTTACGGCATAACACTAGTATCTGTAAGGATTATTCTACGCTAAGTATAAAACTAAACCCTTCATCAAATCAATAACTTTTTGAACGGATTTCGGTCATTTTCCCTAAAAGACTAAAGGAGGTAATGCACTCCTGCTTGAATTCACTTTAAGTCCGGTATCAAATTTAGCCTGGTAGTTGTGAAAGAAACCCTGTATCCTTCCCCTGTATTAACAGTTTTGTTAGATTTATACATGTAAACTACCAAGATGAGTTTGAATTAGGCTTTGTTTACATAAAACCAAGACATGACATTATCAACAGATAATACCATATATTTTTCTCTTGACTGAATATTTTACGAGTATGACAACAACATTGGGGTAAAGTCATGAAAATAAGTAGGCCTACACCTAGTAAAGTCAGTAAATTTGGCCTACATCTCTACCTCCTTCATCTCCACAACAAAGACAACATCAGTTTATTACACCTCTATTTACAGGAATGAAATCCCCCCCCCTCCCCGCCCCCTTTACAATATATATATATATATACCGGTAGCAATAAAAGTCAGAATACTATACAGGGAATAATTTTCCCGGTATCGCATCGCAATTTGCGACGCATTTTCAGCCATTTGCTACACATCTTTTTTTATGAATCGCAATTGCTGCGATGCAAATGCAAACATACATGTTTAAGGGCGGGATCATCACACCTCTGTTCAAGTACAAGTGCGAGTGAGAAGCCCGTTTCGCGATCTGAATAATCTGAATTACTAGGCTAGCTCATCACACCTCAGTACAAGTGCGAGTGAGTAGCCCGTTTCGCGATCGCCGGCCCTGTAATCAGAATACAGGGCCGGCGATCGCGAAATTGGCTACTCACTCACACTTGTATGTTTGCATTTACAGCGTAACTACTGTGCGTGAAGTATACTGCAGTCACTCTCTAACCGTGAAGCTTATACACATACACCCATTGTCGCGCAAGCACATGGCATGCTACGATCACCTTCTAACCGCGATTGTTGTTTTGAGGCATGGTTCGCGCGATCATTGCACAATGCAATGACAATGCACGTGGGATCTAATTACATGCATCGCATGTGCGCGATGATCGTACCTGGGAGTTGTTTGTTTACTGTCACTGCAGCAAGTGGCCATATCCATTTGAGGACTAGAAATGTGAGTACACCCACCATGTTTACATGTACATTC